TCAGAACTATCACAGAGCAACGGCTAAACCAGCTCCCAAAGGCAGAGACTTTAAAGGCTGCCTAGTTGAGTCACCAAGGAAGAGGGAGCACTCTTGATTAGTACGTGTACTTGTTGGAGCAGGAGCGACAGGACCCACATGAAGTGTTACTCCACAGCAGCTCCAATACATCTCCCAGATGTAGCTCCAAACTCTGCTGCCAGGCTGGAGCAAAGGCCATCCATCAGGGACTGAGAGTACAACCCTGGCCCTGAGGGCTGACAGTAATGGGTATCTGTAAAAACTACCTTCCTGAGTCAGGTAACTACAGTCATTCTTCTTCACCCAGCCTTAGGCATAGATTCTTAGCCAGGAAGTTTTCCTAATACAGCATCGAATTAATTTTTATAAAGTAGTTTTCATTAACTCATTAATTCAAAAAATTTATATTAAGTGTTCACTATATGTTTTAAACTACTTTATGCACTTGAGTTATAATGAAGTGGAATAAGAAGGGTCTCTGTTCTTATGAAGTATATAGAATAACAGGGAAGTTGTGCTCTTAGTTTATCACAGCACAGTGTGAGGAAACTGCAATATCATAAATGGCAAGTTAAAAAAGCTGTCAGGAAGACCAATAGGTGGCATATTGGTTCAGGCACAGGACTCTGACATGACTGAACATGGTCCGAATCCCGGACCTGGAAGCTTGAAATTCACACCAGGTGTGTGTGCGTGTGTGTCCAAAGTCCTGAGAGAAGAATGGAGAAAAGATTGAAGTGTGACCATCCACCCTGGGGAAGCGATTTCTCACTTTCTGTCTCTTGAGTGACCACAGTTTCCCCATAAAGAACATCTCTCAAAAAAAAAAAAAGAAAAGAAAAGTCATCTGGATAGAAGTGGGTTTGAAACTGAAATCTAAGGTATATATGCAATTCTTTATTTTTCAGCTGACTGAATGAAGCATGCTCATACTTTGCACATACTATTAACTCTTTAATAGGTTTTCTTTACTGCTATAACACGTTATTTTTTATAAAATATATATTAGTAAATAAGTACATAAATAAATGCTAAGTAAAAAATAAAAAATCTCTATTGAGTACCAAATGCCAGAGTGACTGCAGTAGATAAAGAATAGCCTAGGAAACTTTTCTGATAAGTTGTTAAGTGATGTCACAACAAAAATACCATCCAATAATAAAATGTATCAAACTATTAATACACAAAAATCATATGCGAATCTCAAATGCATTGCACTAATAAACCAGAGACAGAAGACTATAAACTGGGGAAGGAGGGGTGCCATTTGTATGATACTTTGGAGAAGAAGAATTATAGGAAAGTTCATGCTTTCCAGGGCTTGAGTATGAATAAAGGGAATGACTACCAAAGGATAGGAAAAGAGAATTTGGATAGTAATGAAATAGTTTTGTATCTCAGTTTTATGGTGGTTATATAACAATGCATTTGTTAAAACTTATATAACTATTTACCAAAATGAATGAATTACATTGTATGTAAATAAGTGTTGATATGTATCATTTTGAAGTGTGAAAGTTCTCTTTTTTATCAAGTTAAGATAAAGTCTTGCTTTGATCAAAACCATTATGCAATGCCATTTGATAACTATATAAATTTATATTTAAATTAACTAAAATTTTTTGAAAGGTTTTTGCCATACGGTGCGTGTGCTTGCCAGAAAGACAGAGAGAGACAGAGCGACAAAAAGCGAGAAATCACCCCCGAAAAAGGGATGGCCATGCTGCAATCCCTTCTCCTCCATTCTCCTCTCAGGATCTTGGGCACGCACGCACATGTGCCTGGCATGAGTTCAAGTCACCAGGTCCAGTACTAGACCCACAGTCGGCTACATGGGAGTCCAGCAACATAGTCATTACACTAACTGCTGGTCCTCAAATTAAATAAAATTTAAAAATAAGTTTCTCACTTGCACTAGTAAAGTTTTGAGTCCTTAGTAACCATGCATAGCCAGTAGTTATTGTATTAGAAGAAATAAAGAGTATTTCCATTTGTGCAGTGATTGTCATTGAGAAATGACATATTGGATACTCTTCTCTGACTTGACTACATTTATGTAGAAATAGTAGATGCTGGGAACCAGTAGTTAGCATAATGACTATGTTGCTGAACTCCCATGTAGTCAACCGTGGTTCGAGTATCAGACCCAGTGGCTTAAACTCATGCCAGGGGTGTGTGTGTGTGTGTGTGTGTCCAGGATCCTGGGAGGAGAGTGGAGGAGAAGGGATTGTGGTGTGGTCAGCCCCCCTGGGGGTGATTTCTCATTTTCTGTCTCTGTGTTTCTCTCTGTCTGTCTGGAGAGTGCAGTGCCCTATAGCAAAAACCTCTTA